GGGCGCGGCCTGCGGTCGTTTGACTTTCAAGAGTCAACGCTTTAAGCGACATTTCGCGAGACTCGATTATCAAAGTTTGACACGTCTTTATCTCAAGAAGATGTCATAGTGTGTGTTATCACTTGTTTACGGTTGTTTTTGCACTGTATATGTAAACATTACTTTCTCTAACGTTGGGAACTGCCAAAATACAGCTATGAACTGAGCACCCAACATTGAGCGGGAATGTTTTTTTTAAATTTATTTATTTATGTTTAAATTTTGTGAAAGGCTTCAGCTCCCTTACGGGAATATTTGTTCATCCCCTTCCTCTCACATAACTTGACCTGTTTTCATCTGTAATAGGTCTTCTCCGAATGTTTGAACGGTTAGCCTAAGTTATTTTCGGAGGGTTTCCAAATCAAAATCATTGTTTTCAAAAAACGACTTACCTGAGAGTGAAAACATGCGAGAGATAATCCAATCGCGTCGGAAGGCGCGAGCTACCTACGAAGTCTTCCGAGCTACCTACGAAGTCTTATGTTGAGTTTAGCTTTTGAAAAACACCCGTTCAGTAGGAGTTGGTCCACTTATTCAAAAGACATAATCTTCAGAGTTTCTGAGTGACATCGCATTTTAGGTGTATGCTCGCGGAGAAAAGGCAGGCTTAAGCGGAAAAAGGGACCGCTTGAATATTCTAACGGGAGTGTTACCTAACTCAATTTTATATTCAAGATGGACTTTCGTGAGCGCGGTGCGTGTGGCAGTGTTTTATTGACATGTGCGATGACCCTTTTGGTCAGAAATGCGGCTTTCATGGTTTCTAGAGTCCCAAAAGGCATTTTCCTGTTTTCTTTCTCTTCGGTTTTGGCATTAGTATAATGCTCTGAAGTAATTGTGCGTCGGATGTGAGTGAATATTTTGTTCGTAAGAGTTGTGATGAGGTGTAGTTATTGTAGGCTCGCAGATCTGTTGTAGGTGAATATCATTAGAGAACATTTCACTTTATTTTTTCTAATCACAGAAGATAATAGTCGAGTGAGAAGATGGAAAAGGGGTCGGACTGGTTTAAAGAAAATCAAATGAAAATAATTTCGTTGTAAAATTTTGGCCTAAAAATGGTTTTGTTTTTTATTAAATTTAAAGAAAGTTTATTATGAGAGCGCGTAATGAGCGAAATATTTACATTGTGTCAGTTCGGTACATTTTTGCGGACCAACTTACATTTGTGTGTACAACTTACCTGTTTTAGTCTCTTGTGCAAATGTGATTGAGGGACATTTAATTCTACTCTTTTGATATTACTCTTCCACGGGACTTCGTAGCGGGCTCTGAGATACACCGCTGCACTGCAGCGGGCGAGGGGGGCGATCTTTCTAGAAAGCTCGCAGTATTGATGTCAGGTCGAGGTGACTGTCTTAAGGCGCCTCCGCACATTCGGCATTCGCCGAGCAGCGATCTACTGCTCGCCCAATCCCTTGTAGCTGATGTGTTCGGCGAATGTTCGTCCCCTTTGATGTGTCCTGAAGACCGACACGCGGAGGATAGGGCGTATACCGAATGTTTGGCGCTCGGCGAATCGCATGCAACCCGTCCACACTACTCGGGATCTGGCGAACGGTTACTCGGGATTCGTCGATTGCCGCATGTGTGGAGTCACCTTAAGCTGCAAAATGTGGATGGGACGGGATAAGAGAAAGAAATCCCGAAGCGGAGGGAGGGAGGAAGTGGAAATCCCGAGAGGGGGGAGGTGGAGGATTCGCCTTATCGTTTGGCTAAAGTGCGTTTCCTGCTATATATATGTGTGTGCGGTTGCTGTCAGAGCGAACGATCGCTCTCAGTTCTGAATTCTTGGAGAGATGGTCGCGGGGAGATGACTGCGGCGTTTCTTCACACGATGAAATTTCATCAGTTACAATGTGTTGTAGTTGATCAGTGTAGTTGTCTACATTGAAAATCATAAATTCCCTAAAATACAACTACTACGTTATGGATATGTGTGGTACGTATGACACATCCTAAGATATAAAATCGTTCGGTATAAGTTACAAATTCTTAGTTCTGACAGTATCTATTGAAACATTCAGTTTACAGTTTATGGTACTGAGTGCAAAATATATTTTTTCTTCGTGTCAGAGAATGATCAAAAACTTATTTTTTATCAGCTACTTGTTCATTGTACAAATATCCATTAATTAATCTTTGTTGTACTTACAAAATTAACCGCCGAAGATAAAATGATATCCCTTTGAGACATAAATTGAGTTACTCCCCTGTCGCAATACAAATATGGGCGCGCAGGAAACACGAGTAACGTCATTATGTCATCAAGTAGCAAGCGGAGGTAGTAGAAATTTAGCAGAAATTTGCTGAGAGGCGCGCGATTTCAAAGTAAGCGGGACGAGATATTAGCAAAAGCGGTGTTTAGCAAAAGGTGCTTTGCGCAGCTGCCTCGTCTGTCAGTCATACCTGGTATTTCGGGCGCGTGTCACCGTGTGACGCGGCACGCCACTCATAGGTGCGACGTATTATTTTTACCCCTCGCCGCCGCAACCACCCGCCGCTTCCAAAACCGCAGACGGGGCCCGCGCATTGTTTTCGGCAGCGGCGGCGTAGGGCCCTATAACTCCCATATAACGTGGTGGGGACCATTACAGTGGCGTTCTCTAGAGCATCACCTTCTTACACGAACTGAAAAACGAACTGCTACCAATGTTATTTAAAACGTGCGTGGGTTGTCGGGACGCAATCACACGCGCTTGATACAAAAAATCGCGCCGCTGTTCGCGCTACCTTTTCTGTCATGCGTGTATTA